ACAAACACTTTGAATGGGGCTTGTGAACAGACTGGAAACCAATGTCATCTGAGTCATATATTTCAAAAAGCAAGGCCCCAGACACAATTGTGGCTGTTGCATTTTATATCAACTGAAGTTACTGTATGCTTTTCAAAGGCAGCTATACATAGAGGGTGTTGCATTTTTCCAGCTTGGGCATGACCAAGGCTTGTAGAATGGTGCCAGGACCACCTTTCACAGAAAAAGGTCACAGTTTTTGTGTAGTTCTGGGTTCTTTGGATCTAGGCCATTTTGAGTTCATGGTTCTTCTAGCTTTACAGGTTATACCTTTCCTATAAAACTGTTTATTATGTCTTAAATTTCTTCTTGTCTGTGAAAACTCATATAACTATTGAAGAGTAAGCATTGCAGAAAAAATAAGTTTCTTATGTGTATAGTTGTTTATATAAAATTATTTGGTGATCTGTATGAAAAGAAAAACAGACAAGCTCCAATCTAAACTGGTCACTGGGGGAAAAAAACAAAACAATTAAGGATTATGCCTTTTGAGTTCAAGGCAGCTAATTTGAATTCTGGAGCCAGAACAGATATGATGTTTAATGATGGTGAAGAAAGCCATCCTGGTGTTTTGGCAAAGAAGTATGCTTCTTAGTAACAACATGACAAAATCCTTCCTCAGTAGATGTTTTTAGTGACATGGTCTCTCTGTGTTCTGCAGATAAAGGCAAACTTGTTTTACTTAGACTACATAGGGTGAGTTCTCACAATCCTGCAACTCATCCTGTGAATAAGCTGAGCAGGGTGGGTTGATTACGATAGGTGATCAGACTCCTCTTCAATTCTCGGTTACAATAGGTGATCAGACTCCTCTTCAGTTCTCTGTGCAGCATCCCAAAAGGCTAGGACAGTGATGGCAAACTTTTTAGAGACCGAGTGCCCAAACTGCAACCCAAAACCCACTTACTTATCGCAAAGTGCCAACACTGCAATAAAACCTGAAAACTGAGGTTTAAGTTTAGAAAAAAACAACTCACAGCCAGTCCAAGCAAATAAAGAAATATACACACACACACCTCCTTGGCAGCGCACTGACCGGCCACGCGAAAGCTCGGACGAGTCGTGGCTAATGAGTCATGGCTTGTGACATCATTGCCTGGCGCCACTACTCCTTTCCGAGCATGCGCATGGTCCCTATGTGCGCTGTTATCCGATGCTCGGCTGCTGGGGCGATGCTGGCGTGACTTGGCTCGCATGCCAATGACATCTAATCTGTCATGTCTGCTCTGATTGTGATGTCTTTCTGGTTACAGCCACTGCTTTTTTCTCCCCCAGCCTTGTTTGAGCCATTTCTAGGATGTTTCCCAGTAACAGCACTTCTAAGATGCTGAAGCAACACATTGGCATGGTCTTCACTGGTTTGCTACCATTAAATTAAAAAAAAATTACCTAGGTTCATTTGTTACCTGACTTTGCTGACAAGAGAAAAACAAAACCATGAGGGGATCTTTGCTTTTAAAGCATTTCCCTGAGAGTCAATGCTCACTACCTCTGAACCTCTCAGTACTCCAGGAATGTAAGATCTAGATCTCCTCCCAGTTTGCTTACATAATTTTTATAACTGTCAGGCTTCATATGCAGCTGTTAAAAGGTGGTAAACCAGTGACAGCTGCTTCAGTTTACTGCTTAGGCATGAGCTGTAACTGGGAGACATTGTGAAAAGGTCCCAAAAGGTGGAGGGAAAAAGTACAGTGTTGACGGAAAGGGGGTCATGAGCAAAGTGGAGAGAGCCAGTGACAATAGCCCCGAAGTGCCACCTGGTTATTGGTGGAGCAGCTGCCTCTGGCAGGAGGCATCAGTGAACTTGGCAAGAGTGGAGCAGGGCGTTCTTGAAAGATGTTGATGTTCTTACCAAATAGCAAGCTAGCTGCTTCTCTTGACCCATGATGGAATTGGTTTTCCAGGTTTAGACAACAGGACAATCCATCCTGGGTCCCAATAACCCACATAACAAGCCATGAATTGTCAGGGTATCCTGTTTCCCCAAAACAAGCCACCCTGTAGGAAGTAGGTTCAGGTTTGCATAACATTACACTTCACTGCTGCTAGTTACTTATGACGGGTTGCTGCAAACCTGGCCTTTGTCTCTGTCATGATAACCGCAACTCATAATCGACTTTCAGGTCGGTCTTCACTTTGCAGATCTCTTGCATGTGCACAGGCTCTTTCAAGCTGTCAGGTGAAAAAATGTGCACCATTGCAGGTGCTGTTAAGTGAAGTAAAGTTAGACTAGCGTGCCCAATAGGGTTCTGGTAAAACCTGCAGGCACTTGTCCTGACTTGTACCACAGACATGCCCTTAAAGAGAGTCCAAAACTGCAGGGTGCTGTGTTGATCCAGATCAGCAAGCCAGCCCTAGCAGCTTTCATCTCCATCAGCAGCAGATCCTTGGTAAAGCTAATGAGTCTTAATTGCCTATACAAGGCCAAGTCAGCCCAAGATAGTTTGTAGGGCAACAGGCTTAGTTGACAACTGTATATTATTGCTGCAAAAATTAATCCCCCTGTAGCTACTGTGAGGATGGCAATAAACTCAGGGGAATCAGGAATTCTGATGGGTGGGGTGAGGCAGCAGATGACATCTGTGTCTACCTGTATCCCTGTAAACCAAAAAAACTCAGTGCTACATTCCTGTGATCCTTGGCTCTGTTAGACCACTGAACATGTCTGTTCCTCAAAGCAAGGAGAAGAACCTTCTGAGAATTGCATTATCTGAATTACCCGTCAGAATTGTGTATGCCAGCTTCCTCAACTTTGCATCCTTCAGATGTGTTGGACTACAAATCCCATCATATCAAGTCAAGGCATGTGAGGGAGGCACCTAATTTGGCCGGGGGTGGGCACTCCTAGTGTCTGCCAAGTCCCTTTCTCTGGGCTGGAAGAGGTTTCTTCCAGCAGAAAAAAAGCAGAAAGTCCTGAGGGTGGGGCATTGATGTTGGTAGGCATGGTCAGGCCTACTGAGTGTTACTGGGTTTGTCAAGGGCCCTCACAAAGTTCATCTCTGCTCCACAACCCTAATAATCAGAAACATATTTGAGAATAATGCTGATGCAACACTTCAGGATCTCATCTTGCCTGCTAGAATCTGTAACAGACTGTATTCTGTGCTTCATCCAGATTTATAGATCCACTGCTGATAGTCACAAAACCACTGAGAAAATTGTTATCTATATGCATACTTGTGGAACATATGAGGGACCTATGGGATAGGCAGGTAGGGGCTGGATTTCTGTGTTGCTGCTTTTGTACATTGACTTTTAATGCACATGATTTAACTGCAGTGAGCAAGTCATTTCTGAGACTCTACGGACTGACGACATGCAAGTTCTGCTGCACTAAAGGGCCAGCTAGTCCTGGAGTGTGCCTGGGCACAGTGATAATCTGAAAAGAATGCAGGGGTGTGATTGGAAAAAAGAGAAGCATCATTTTGTAAAGCCCTAGTTCAATTCTCTGGAGTACTCCTGCATTTGTATTGTCTGTGTGCTTTGCTCAGTCTATTATTCCTTTGTGTCACCCCTTCTTTCTCTTCCAAATTTAAGCCAGACCCTCCCTTTCCAATGCACTTTTCACACAGGTCACAGACTTTCTGATATGCAAAGGAACACCCACAACAATAAATCTCAGACTGATTATTGTTGGGTTTTTTGTTTGTTTTTAAAAAGCCTACTTGGAATATTACTTGACTACTCCCTTGAGTGAGTTGATCATGGCAAACAAAAATCTTCTGAGCTGTCCAGTTGAGAATGCAATAACCCGAATTGGCTGCAAAGAGAAATTGACTGGTGGGGCTGGTATGCTGTGTGTTTTTTTCTTGTTGGGGTAAACATCTGCTTTTCAAATTGAGTACCCTCCTGTAATGGCCAGCAAAGATTTAGAAGTGTCAGAAGCATTTGCCAAAGGCTTTCCCTTAACTCTCTTTCCTTACATGAAGCTTGGGTGAGGTGGAGATTTTGGAGCAGGGACTTCTATCTCTGCTTGTGAATGGAGATGGGGTACATAGGCACAAGTGACTTTCCTTGTGAAAACATCAAGTGTTTCGTGTGTGTGTGTGTGTGTGTGTGTGTGTGTGTGCGCGTGCACATGCTTAAGTGGAAGGAATACAATGTTCTAATCAAGTAGCCTTTTGAAAAGATTCTGATGCAAGCTTTCCAGTAACAAACAGGTCATCTTATCTAATACAGCATTCAGATGAAGATTAGCAAGCTATAAAGAATTAACCACTCTAAATTGTTTTGCCTTTGGAGATAAAATGTCTTCTGAAAGTATAATAATGAAAAAAAACACCCTGCTTTCTCTTGAGATACAGTTCTGTATCAGTTAGTTGTCTTTTTGCTAGAGGGAGAGATCCAAATGGGAAATAGGCTATCTTGTCATTCTCCCTTAAATATTTTAATTTAGTCACTTTAAAATTAACAAAAAGTTGAACCAATATGAGATAGACCTTACTAAGTTGTTGTTGTCATATAGTATTGTGTCAGGAATATTTAAGCTAAGCTTCCCTAATCAAACACTGCAGTTTGATACTTTCTTTCACTCTTTGTTTTTATTGGAATGATCTTGATCTTCAGAGATTGTTTGTATATATCATAAACTACATTCAGCACTTGATCAGAAAAAATGTCAATCTCTTCATGTAGCTCTTTTCTTAATCTTGTCTCATCAAATGTGGTAAAGATATGAAAGAAACAGGATATGTAGCTGTTGCCTTCTGGAACTATTTCTTTTGCTGATATGGGACCAAATGAGATGCACCAGTTGTCTGGTCTCAGATGGGCTGATAGGCTTCAGTTGCCCATATCAAGTTTTAAAGAGTCCTGTTTGATGAATTCACTGTAGAAAGTATCAGTCATCTCATGATATTCCAGAGCAAGATTAGCAATGACCAGGGTAGGTAAAGTTTGCAGTCTGATGCTGTTTGCTTCTGTACTCTTCACAAACCTTTTCTGTCCCTTTTTCTCCAAAGTGTGTCAAGACTGGTGGGGTTTAGATTATAGACAAAATGTGTCTCTGACTGCCAACTGGTCCTGCTGCTGTTCCATGAAAAAGGTTGAGATGGCAGCTGACTTAGGACAGCTATCAGAAAAACTCCTGCAACCACAGCCTCTCTTGATCAAGGTAACTTCACAGTGTTAGATGCCTGGTGTAATGTGTTCTACTCTTAGGGCATATGAGAAGACAGCTCATTAAAAATATATTTAATCTGTTCTGTTTTGATAAGACAGGGCAGTACCGGTCTTATGCAGAAATGAAGCATTTTCAGTCCCTGTACCCTGACTTGACAGATTTTGTGATTCAAGAGCACTCAGCTGAGGAATGGAAAAGCCATCTGCAGCAGCAGTCACCATCTCGTATTTTACGGTAAGTTTGAGCTGTTTACTAAAGTTGTGTTTCCTACCTTTTTCTACAATGGACCTACTTATACCTTTGGCTGAGGTACACTGGCACGTATTCCAAAATGTGAAAGGGAGCAAACTGGAAGAGTAAGTGCACTAGGAAGCGAAATACAGAATTATTGCTTGCATAGGTTTCTTGACCTGCAGTGCTTCCATCTTGTAATAGTTCCCTCCTGAACTGAATGTCAGCTTGTTCCAGTCAGGTGTGTGATGTAGTGTTCTGGCACATGTCCCTTGGCTTTCAGTTTCCTAGCAAATTGATTTTCAAACCTGCTTTGACTACATATTTGGGGTGCGGTAGGTTCCCCTGATGGAACATGTGGAGAAGCACACTGAAATGGGATGTGAGACTCAACCAAATTATAACGGCTAGCCCTGATTTTGTAGGGTTAGAGCTCTTAGTTACTTAGAGTCCTCTCTGTGCCTTTGCAAACGCTGTTGCAACACAACGAGAATTGCATAGTCCATCACTTAGTTGGCTCTATAAAGCCTGTAATCTGCAGGGCATGGAGCAGGTCTTTGACCTGCACCAGATGACCATGCTGGGACAGTGGAGATAGTTCAACCCACTCTGCACAGATGGCTGGCTTTGCGGAAGTTGCTAGGCTCCAGCATGCAATTGATGTCACAGTTACATTTCACAATCTACATGCCTTTGTCAAAGCACACCATGGCCTCCAGAGGACTCATAGGTTTATTTTGGCCAGAATCCACCTCACATTATGAAAATTGGATTGTTTCACAGAACTGTGGATAACTCCTTTGCCACATTCCTATTATAAAAGCTACCTTAAAAGCGCTAAAGGGGTTCACTGCAGAGGAAATGAGTAAAGGGTTCTTTAATCACCCAGAAGTTGGTACAAAATGATGACACATAGTCAGTGTCTAGAAATCATTCACTAAAGAAGCAATGTTTAATAATTATTGCTACATGGTAACTGGTTTAGCAGAGACACATATATCCTGTAGTCTTAAAAACCCTTACTAGGGAGTAAGCCCCATTGAACTCAAGGAGGCAAGCAAATAGGCATAGGATTTTACTGCCGGTTTCACTGCCAAAAGCATTCAGTAGATTTTAAAAATGGTATAGCCACATCTTAGCTCTGCAAATCTATTGTCTTAAATCTGTCTGTCTTAATAGATTTCTATTATAGTCACCTGTGCTGAAGTCTCTAATACAAAGCTTTTTAGATCAGAGCGTAGTTTTTTGCTTTCTCTGTGTTAGAGCTTTATAACACAGAGAGAGCCTTGAATTTCCCACTGCAATGATGTTTAAGCATTAAATATTCCAACAGAAGGTGCTTCCTCTCTGATATTTACCTGACAGCACGCAGCACTCTTCTAAGGATCAGTTTGGAGAAGAGTGTGATCATGTGCATGGATGTTGCAGGACCAGAAAGGACTTATGCTTTGAGTTAGACTGGCGCACTCCATAACTGGAATACAAGTGTTCTCTGTCATTATTCAGTGCTGTTTTTATTTTATAAACTTGTGAGGGACGATTGGGTGCAGGATTTCTAAGTATGAATCATGACAGGTCCCCACATGGGATTCCTAAAATGTATCCCTGCCCTCTTTTCTTGGAATTGTGAGTAGGCTACAGTTCCCAAATCTTTTCCCATGTGGTTTTAGTTAATGTTGGACTAGGTGACACCTTCCTTTATTTCTCTTCTTTAGCATTTTATTTGCTAATAAACTTGACCATTTTTTCCAAGAGAGATTTCAAAGATATATTGTATTATTATACTTAATCTCTTAATTCCTTGACCATGTTGATGTATTATTATTATTATTTTGGGGAGGGGAGAAGATAGATCTTCTGAACTAGGCCCAAAGAGTTTCAGTCTCTTATCTAAACTCAGGCAAAAGAAAGCCCGGTACATTATCTTTTGATTATTTTAATGCCACTTCTGTAAAATGAAGGCAATAATACTTCCTCAGGCCAATGGATATGGATACTTTTTGAAGCTGTGTGATATGTAATGGCAATGTAATATATAACTTAATAAATGCGTTCTGGTTCTCTAAAATACTCCATAGGCAGAGCCCTATGAATAAACCACAGATTGTGCAGGAGATTTTCCCCATGTTCACTTCGCTGATGTTTCCAAAGGCCGTTTCCTTGAATACTTGTTTTCTTATCAACCACCCAAGACTTCAAGATAAGGTGAGTATTGTCATGTTTTTTAAAATTCTTCTATACCACTTTCCCAAATAATTTAAAGCAGTATGCTTCAAGCTAAATTGTACTTCCAGAACAACACCAGCAGAAGCAAACAAAAGCAAAATAAAAGTCGTCGAAACATCAACAGGAAAACTTCATCAAAACCCTGACAAAAGAAATGGGTCTTGCAACATCTCCAAAAAAATGCCATTATGGCAAAAGCTCTAACCTCTTTTTGATGCCACCTCAGTATGTCATCTCAGACAGCAGAGGGGCCCCATTATTGGGGTATACGGTTTGTGCATGGCCTTGTTGCTCCTTCCAACTAGCTTTTCTTAGGGGTAGCGATTGGGAAGAGAATGGTTAGTTATTAGTGCTACTCAGAGATGCCCCAGATTGTGCAATCAGTGCATCAAACCACACTCCTTCATCTTTACTGGCAGCTTGCACTGCTGCCTTGCTTGGATTTAGGGTGTGGGGTCACTGTCCAACAAGTAGCACTCATTCCCATTTCTTGCAGCCATGTCTTGCTATAGGTGGAGGTGTGCATGGGAGCAATTGTTACATACACTGCTTGTCTCTGACTTAGAGTGTTCTTTGGAACTGTGGTGGCAGGGATTGCTTCTTTTGGTTGCTTTTCCATGTAGAGAGTGACGTGTGCAAGGAACAACTTCCTGCAACAGTCTGAATGTATCTTATGCTTGGTGGCTCCTGGGTCTAAGCTGAATGGTATTGGTGGTCACTCCCTGTGCATATTTCTTCCCAGAGAGACACAACCACCAGAAGTAGAGACTTAAGTGCAAATATAGGTTGCAGAGGTGGATATCCAGCTGCTAGTCTCTTTAAAATGGCAAGATGCTTAGTCACGGGGCCTATCCTATCCTATTCTGTGTGATACAGAATATTATAGAACAGTCCTCTCGTAAATGGTTCTTTTGCATCATTGTTTCACCAGGTTCCTTCTTACAGGAAAATGTTGTTTTATTCTTCAGTTTTCTAATCAATTTCTGAAAGAATGCAAAAAAGAATTGAACATTCTTTATTTTATATTTTTCAGACATACAGGCTACAGAGCATCTTTGTGGTTGGAAGTGGTCAGCTTACTTTGCATGTTGTTCCTTCTGCATTATGTAGAGGACATTGCAAGATGCTGACGGTTGAGCTGGAGGTTGGGGATGTAGGTGAGTACTGAGACTGCAGCCCTAGTGGAGGCTGTGTGGCAGAACTGGGTTCTCCACAACCTTCTTTTCAGTGCTAGGTATTGTACTTGATGTGCTGGAAAAAGGCAAGCCATGGCTTGCAGCTCATGGTAATTTTGCCCAGCTAAAATTGTGAGGGTTTTTATGCGATAGAAGAGAAAATGCATTCCACACCCTGTCTGTTGGGGGAAAAAAGCACGAACTTTGTGTATACTATGTGGCATTCTAAATTGGCTTTCCCAACTCTGGAAGGATGCCCCACCATCGTGGGGAGCTTGTGCACTGTTTCATGCAGCAGTCAAAAGGCAAACAACTGTTTGGAGAAAAGGCACATTATATTGCATAGCATTACTCTGCTGCTAAATGAACTCATGGCATACCAGCTTGATTGAGCACTGCACTCCTCTTTGCTACATTTCAAAGAAGAGTGTAGAATTGGGAGAGGCACAGAAAAAGGCTTATGCATAAATGCCATGTTAGTCTGAAACCCAAACAATAGATCTTTGTGGCACCTTAAAATGAACAGATGTTCATTTTTGTAGCAAAATTTTGGTAGCAAAAAACCAGTTTTCATTGGATCCATCTGATGAAGTATATTCTACCATATGAATGTTCACTTTGTAATACATTCAACAGCCTTTTAAGGGTACCTTTGATGTAGGGTTTAGTGCTCTGAAGGAAGAAAGGAACTGACTTCTGTAAGGCTGAGAGGTATACTTATTTAGTTCATTTATTAAAGGAAGGACCGTTTCCGGCTTAAATAGATAGCTATGGAAAGCTGGGTGGGTGTGGGGAGTGCTTCAGAGCAGTATAAATAAAGTTTGAAACCAATTCATAGGGAAGAGATTTTGTCAAAAGTGTTGTCTTAAAGAAGGGTAATGCAGATGAGAAATAACCAATGTTTTCTCAATGTCTTCTCCCTTTCCCTCATGAAGGTTTTGCAAATGAGGACTACTGGACACTTTTCTTTGACTCCAGGGGATCAGAACCTGCTGTTGTTTGTGATGGATCTGCAAGTTAAAAGCTGTGAAAAACAAGTTGTTGCAGTTTAGAAGACTTGGGATCAAAGACAAGGAAACAACCTACAAAAGAGATAAGGAAGACTTAGCTACAGTTTCCAGGAATCTTTCCCCCTGTTCTTTGCATCTGCAGTGAAAGAAGCCATGCGCTTTAAAATGGCATCTTCTCCTGACCTTCAAGATAACTTTGGATACCATTTTCCTCAAATGTCATGTTAGGAGTCCTTTCTCTCTAGTCATGTGTAGGTTTGTTCCTGAAAGCAGATGAAGCAGTTCTGAGGATTGGGAAATCTGCGATATGTTCTTTGCGAACATTCTCCTTCTGACAGCACTGTGGGAATTCTCACAAAATTCTTCTTTCCAGACATCCTGGAGAGATAGTATCAGGGCTGCTGACTGGATCCCTTCTGCAAAACGAGCAAACTATTGAAGTGTCATCTGAGGCCAAAGGACACAACTATCCCCTGAAGGTGGTGTTTGCTCAAGTCCTAGTTCTGCCTTAGTTCTGCAATGAAGACATTCTTTCCAGTGGGAAAAAAATCACAGTATCTCTCTACCAAACAAAATACTAGAGTGACTTTATGTAGTCACCCTTCAAATGTGTGTGGTTGAGGTGGGGTTCATATACTTGACAAGGAGAAGTGCTCTTTTCTTTTTCCATCTCTTTTCACTAATGTTGAAATACATATTCTTGCTGCTTCTCTGGTCTGGGTCAGTTTAATGCCAAATTCAAGATTTTTTCAAAGTGACTAATAATTGCATCAAGCAGCCAAATTTGCTAGAGGACTGTTTTTCCCCTTGCTTTCAGAACATTTTGAGCACTATTCTCCCCCACCCCCCAAAATCAGGCCTTTTGGAGGTGTCCAGGGTGGGCAGCCCAAATTACCACTTTTGTAGCCATGTTCACCTAAACCCAAGAAATGATATCTCAAAAACTTCATTGCTACTTTTGCTTGAATACTGTCCTACTCCTGTTTAAAATATGCTGATGGGTGCATAATTTATGGGCAGGATTACAACAAGTAGGCTGAAGGTTTATGCTATGAAGATGTTTACCCTTCCCCTTTTCCCTGCATTCTGATATTGTTTGCTCACATCTTAATCTTTGTTTTAGAATGCATGTTGATTATTCTGGAACTCCTTCCAGACTTTGCAAATTTTCCTTTCACTGCTCAGGGGCTCATCTGTCCAGTGTCTTTAGAGAGGATCGATTTCAAGCATGTGCTGTCCACAGTTGTCATGCTTTCCAAGAGCGAATCTTTAAGTTCCTGCTGTGTTAAGATAATTTGCAGATGTGTCAGGTTGTAGTCAGAACCCAGCAATGATATCTGGGGCATACATTTTGTTTATGAACTATTGGTGATTCTTTTCTTTCCAAACAAGCTAACAATACAACTTTTCAAATGTGTTAATGTGTAAACAGAGGTCAGTTTTAAAGAAGGGATTGGAACTTTTTATCTTCCTTTGTTAGAAAAGTAGGTTGGATAGATTATTAGTTATATGCCAGCAGCAATTAATTGCCCCTGTCAGAATCAAGGCCCCATTCTGCTGGAGACCATGCAAGTTCACAAAAGTTCTCTCTCCCCCACCCCCATTTTTAATTGTGTTGTGAAAGGCTTGCTTATGACAGCAGAGAGTTAGATGTATGTACATTTAAAGGATCAGTATAAAACTAGGAGGCAGCACTGTGGCCTAGTTTTGGATTTTTGTAGGGTTGGCATTTAAGCTATTTAATGTCCTGGTATTTCTCTTGACCAGATGGCTGACATTTTTTTTTTATTCCCCTTCTTATTCTATAATGTAAATTCTCGTGTTTAGGTTGCAAAGATGACCTCCCCAAAACCCACCTTCCCTTTTCTCCATCAGAGCTATATATTATGTTAAATATGTATGTGATGATAGCACATATAGCAGGAAATGTGTGCCACTAGCTTTTTCACTAGTGGTCCATTAAGAAAAAGTATTTATAACCATTTCAGGATATCATGTTGATTTAATCTGGTTAAGAGGCACCACAGTCCTCTACATGTTTATTTGGACAAAACTCCCGCTGCATTTAGTGGTGCTTCCTCCCAGGAAAAAATACTACAGTCCCATGGCCATTTACCTGAGAGCAAATGGGACTTCTCAGTGGACATATATATTGTTGTTTTGTAAGTCAGACAAAAGATAACGGACCTCATTTTCTATATCTTAGCAGGGATCCATATGTATCTTCATATACTTTTTTCTGCTAGTTTTTTTTTGCTGGTGTTAATTTATACTTTGAAGCTTAGTAAGCTTAGGTTCTTCTAAGCTTTTCCCAAGGATGCATTTTCAGAGCAAATACTGTGGAGATTTACACACAGAATATAGCAGCAAATTGTGCTGTGTCAAAATGCATTTGTTTCACATACACAAAATGCAGGAAACACATCCAAACAGAATTTCAATTGACTCAGATTAAAGAGCATTCATACATATAAAGGTAAAGACACAATTTCTGTATTGGTAGTGAAATGTCTGTCTTCTAAGGAATTATATCTGTGTTGCTGACTGCAGGGATGCTGGTGGTGGAATCAGTCTTACTGTCAACCTCAGGGTCTGTAGAGAGCAATGGTTTTAAAAGCCATTTTATACATGTGCTGCATGTTTCTCTCTTCCCACCTCAAATGCCGATCAAGAACTTGCTAGTCTGTTGGACAGGAGATAATGAGTCTGTCCTTCATACAGACTGCCTTTCCACGTGCGCTTCGTCTTTGCATAGGTTTCCAGATCTTTGTCTAGGAGGTGCTGTGCTTATGTCCAAGCCTTGTTCCCTCTGGAGTTTACATCATTTGTTTTCAAACTTCCAGTACATTTTCTCCTTCTCTTCCACAAGCTGCAAGGAATTAAAAGCAGAAGTAATTGCTCAACAGGAACCAGAGGTCCAAGTTCCTTAATTTTCAGCTGATTAAGAGCATTTAATTAGATCTGAGTTTTCTTGTCTGATCTGGAATACAAAGGACAATTCTAAAGCTTGTTTTGACACCTGTCTCCATCCCTTTCTGCAATGGCCAGAGAAGTTGTGTTGTCACCTTCATGCTTCTATTACAGCTTTGGTGGATAAGCATGAAAAGGAAAAACCTCACGAAGATACAGACTAAAGTTTAGAGCTAGTGAGACCAGTTTTTCTAATCCAGAAAGTACTAAGAATCAGAAATTGTTCTGTAGGCAAGCCAACCTTAAAAAAAGCTGAAAGTAATTGGTGTATAATGCAGAATGGTAAATACTTTCTGAAAGTTCATAGGAGGTGATAACCCTAGAGAAGTGGACATTTAAAAAACAAACAATTTCTAATGGCTTAGTGACACACAGTGTCATTGAATAAATACAGTCCTGAACAGATCTCCACACTTCTGCAATCTTATATCTTGCTGGTATGTTTGCATGCCATTGATTCATTCTTTCCTTCACAAAATGTTTTTTGGGCTGCTGGTGTGATCTTAGTGGTATTCCTTGCCTAGCTCTTACTCTTTTTGGACAAGCAAGCTGTCTCTTCGGTTGTGCTGCAGTGTTTACAAAGATTAGTGTTTGTCTGAACAGTGCATTCCTGAATCCTGCAGTTGGAATCCTAAGGAGGGGCTCGTCATGGTGCTGTGGGTTGGCACAATTGGTTGCTAAAGTTCACAAGCCAAGATATGAGGCTTGTTTGCCAAGTTCTTAATAATGAGAGGTTTTTCCATATGAGCAAATCACTGATGTGACATAATGGCAGGAAGAAGTGAATTGGATGGGAGAAACTTATTGATCATAAGACAGTCAGACTGAGACTTCCCCAGCTGTCTAGGTACCCTTCTTTCAGAGATATTTGGTGTCCAAATCTGCATGGCATTCCCCTCCCCACCCCCATGTCAGTCTTCTAGAGCTGAGAGCCAAATGATTTTCTTAGCCTTTCTTAACAATTTTGGGGATAGTGTATACCCTGATGCAGAATGGGAGACGATACAAACAAGGTAGGATTCATCTCTTCAAGAGGAGAGTTTTAGTTTTGAGAGGAAAGGGACCACCCTGTATCCTCTAGCTTTAGCAGGCCTTTTGTTATGAATTAGGACTTACAAGGTCAGGCCTTTCTTGATCTGTTGCTTTGCCAGGCTGTAAGCACCCTTGCCATTAATCATCTGTCCCGCAGACTCAGAACTCACAAAGACCAAACCATGGGAATCAAGAAATGCAGCTGCTTTGAATCGGAGATGCTTACATCTCAGAATATTCAACCTTTTTCTTTTTGTATTTCATGTAGGGAAATGTATAGTTCAGGGATGCCAAATAATATTGGCCCTTTAAAGAAAGCTATATAATTTGCTATTTTATTGAATGAGAGAAACACTGGGCTTTCTGTTGTATTTGAGACTTGAAAAAAAAAACTTTAAAAATTTGTTTGTCTATGCTGGGAATAGAGGTAATATGGGTAATTATTATATATACATAATGGCTCAGGGTTGACTGGGAAATAGCGGAGTATGTGTGTAATATATATTTATAGCTAGCTAGCTGTCTGTCTGCACACACACACACGCACACATATGAGAAAAACATGCCACAAATTATGGATCTTCTAATAGAGAAGAATGTAAATATGCAATTCATTGAGAGTTTTATGAACAATTATAAAGTAATATATTCAACTTTTTGTAAATGCTTGGGAAAAGCCTGTAAAGAGTAAATAAGTCAGATTTGTATGTTTGGGATCAGGGGTCAATTTTTACTTTTTGCAGTTAAGTACAACTATTGATGCACTTTTCCTCATGTGGGTTCTCTTTATTAAAGAAATGTTTTCACTACCAAGGGCCACTGTTTTCTTCATGTTACCTCAGGGGTTAATTGAATTAATGGGAATTTTTTAGGAATCTCAACTATACCCTTCTGTCCATTTCTTGAACAATCAGATTGATCATGCACTCTGTCAACTAAATAAATAATCATTTGTTTCTGCCAGGGATCCTATTTTTTTAAAATGAAGCAAAATTACACATTGCTATTACTTTTGTGGTTCTGTAGAATCTGAAAGAGTTGGTAAAGATGGGTAAAGATGGGCCAGGGAGAGCTAAGAGACTGCAGATGATATGGTCAATACAACCTCAATTGACTTTACAAGGGAAGATGAAGATGGTTTGAAGAAAGGTTCTCTGTGAGGAGATGTTTTGACAATAAAGGTGGATACCATCCTCTTATGATCGTAGGCACTTTTGGAGGGCAATTTATTATGCAGGAATCAAAGCTTGTGGATCCTTTGAGAAATCTAAAGTAATGTGAGGGATTTCTTACACTGATTAATCTAGTCCAGTATTGTTGACCTTGACTGGAAGTGGCTTCTAGGGGTTCTGAGTGGGGTTCTTTCCTAGCCCTACTTGGGGATGTTCGGGATTGAACTGGGAGCCTTCTGCAGGTTGAGGATGTGCTTTGTCACTGAGCCATGCCTCCCTCTCTGAAGAATGGCTACCCATTTCCCCTCCCTCCCCAGAAATTGTTATTAAAGGAGGCTGCTTGTATTTATAGCTGAAATGATTCAGCGAAGATAAGTGCAACAAATTAATAGTTTTGTTATTCTGTTGGAATAAGTGTGACCACTTTGCTTATGTATTGGAATTGCCATATCTGATTTAAAGGCCGCATGTTTTGTTACTGGAAAACAGATGAATAAAAAATGGTAAGATGGTACCCCAGCTATTTAGTGTTTTTATCTAATATCACAGTGAATTATGCCTGAAAGATATTATGGAACGAGTTGTCACATTCCTCTGTTAACTCAAGTGTCTCTTGTGATAATCTAAGCTCAACGTTAATGAATTATACGAATCATTCAGTACGAATTGGGCATCAGTGATTTTGGTTCTTACCAGGTGGAGCAAATGAACAGCTCTTTTGGAACTTACTGCAATCTGAATTTTCAAGTGCAGCAATAGATCTTGTCTGAGAACATGGATTGGCACCCATTGTAAGCCATGGCTTAAGATGGCACCCATCATTACAAATGGGTAATTGAAGTTAGTGGAAAAAATTTGACATACTCACTTGTTAGTATGTGAGTCTTGCATTGTGTAAGCATAGATTACTAGGTTATTGGCTACTTGGAGTGCTGCCTTCTGAGTCTGAAGGAGCAATGGCACTCTCACAACCCAATACTCTGCCTCATTGATTTCCTAGGTGCTAGAATGATGACCTCCAGTAGGAGGCAAAGTTTTCTTGTCCAAGGTTTTGGCTGTCAGGCATAAAATGTTCCATTTATAAAACTTTCAAGCGAAATGTGTGTAGGTCTACCAAACTTGTAATAGAGTACAATCTGGTAATCCCCCCCACTCCATTTCTAAAGAGAAATGTGTCCTTTACAGGCTAGTTCAGCAATCAGGGTGCTGTGGGCCATGCGTGCAGCAAGTTTAATCTCTTTGTTTGGGGTACACTTTGAATTCCCCCATGGAGAGTGAGGGAGGGGGAGAGAAGATTGAACAAATGCCCAATTTGTCTAACAAGCAGGGTGTGTTGGACTACGCCTGTATCAAGTTTCAAGACTTTTTGCCATGTGCAATTTTGAGCCTCTAGTGAGGTCCAAGCGTCTTCACATTTATGTGAACTACTTTTTACATGGAACAATATTTAAAATGTGCAATGTAAGAAGAGTGAAAGAGCGATTTGTTATTTAGACAGCATCAAAGCATTTCTAGAATGAGAGTGCCTCATGCTTCCAAAGCAAAGCCTTTTGGCCTTGGGACAATATTGAGCTCTTGGATGAAACTGTCCAGCACATAGATTAGTCCACGTCTGCCCGCTGCGGGTTCTTGGCATTCTTCTGAAACATCTGACTTCAGTTGTCTTTTGAGGGGATATACTGGGATAGCTTTGTCACAACACTGAGCCAGTGGAACAGTTCATATGTTCCTAAAATTTTATGTGCATGAATGTAGGGCCTTATTGAAAGCCTGTCATCTTGGCTCCGAGTTGACAGTGTGTCAAAAATGTAAAGCACATGCAGCTGTTACGTAGCCACATCATCCCCCCCCCACCCCGCCAGCCTGAGTTCAAACCAAGCTTATTATAGTTGGACCATATATGTCTGTGTTAGAGTACTTAATAATAATAATAATGAGAGCCACATTTTTCATATGCTTACCTAATATTTGTCTAGCAGGCCCAGTGGAAGACAAGTTCTTTTGTCAGCCTGTGGGTGGGAAGTTGATCCATGTTCAATAATTTGGTGATACAAATACCATTTCCAAAATGAACAATTGTGGATGAGATCCTAGAGTGAAGCAAATGGCTTTCCAGCCACTTTCCACTGCATACATTTTTGTTTGCAACCCTAGCAGTGTTGCTGTTGTTTGGGTGTGCATGCATGCTTTGAATATACCACAGGAGACAAGTGCTAGGACTGGAAGATGCAGTCTCATGGGAGACGTTGGTAATGTGGGAGAGAACTGAACAAGGGTGGGTAATGTATGTCCCTCCAGATATTTTTGTTTCCCATGATCCTTCACCAACAGGTATGTTGGCTAGGGCTGATGGGAGTTGTGGGCCAATACTTTTAGAAGGTCACAAGCTGCCCACTCCCAAAATGGAGAAGTGCCACTAGTTGCAATGTAAGTGCCCTGCATTCCTTCACTTTGTGGGCTTTAATTTTTGCTTATTATAAGGAAATTTCCATTCACTGAATATCATATTCAAAGAAGTTTTTTTAAAAACGTACTGTCATCAGACACATTGGTAGGTGCATATATGGGAGGGGTTGATTTCAGTCCCTCCAGCTCCTAAAAGGCAAATGGTTTCTATGGTAAACCCTCACATTGGTTTGGGAGAAATGCAGAATGAGCTTTAGAAGGAGAAGAGAAGATGCACAAAACTCCCATAATGTGGTAATTTGGAAGCATGTTTACATGAGAGATTTCCTTATTTAGAACCTTTCGAGCTGAATGCATGCCCCAATTGCAGGAAGCAATACATGGAAGCGTGTGTGATAGTGCACCTTATTCTTCCCTGACTTAATCTACAGTAATACAGTGTGCAGTCTTGTGCAAGAATTCCTACAGCTCCCATCATTCCTCATTTGGCTGCAGTTTTTCTAATCAACATGTCAAAAGCATTGTCCAGCAGAACAGTACCACTACCTGGAAACATGCTGTTTTCAGTCACTGCTTTTTGCTTTTTTAGTCGAGGAAAAGCACCTAGAACGATGTTTATAGGAACTATGGTGTGGCTTTTTCTTACAGCTTTATTTATATGTATTTATATCTCATCTTTTAAAAACCTTTTCCCATGAAGTATATTTTTCACAAAGATAAAAATATCAAGCTAATAGGCTAACCTAACCATGTTTTCTTTGCACTAAAATACCAGTAGAAAATTTTACTTATAAAGCTTTGTGAAATAAAAAGAAGTTGAGGGGGTTTCTTGTCAGAGCTTGTCTACAAATAAGAAGATGAGGGGCCTTGATGGAATTTCCCAGGAAGGGAATTCAAAGGTTATGGAACCATCACCAAGAAGGCCCTGCCCTTGAGTTCCACATTCCTAATTTGATCATTGCTAATGATGGGCCAGATTCACTTCGATAAGAATAAGATCCCTATATATAGGAGGCTATCCCAATGGTGGAGTTACATGTTGCATTGAAATATTCAGTTGGATCCATATTAAGACATATTAAATGTAGACTTATTGAGCTCAATGGGACTTGAGTCATTATTACTGAATCTGGATCCAACCTATTCTTCGAGTAACCACTGCAGAGGATGCAGGGGGACAGATCAGGAGTTAGAAGTACAGGGAGGGGTTTTTCATCTCTTCCCTCTAGAGTCCCAACAAAACCCCCTTCTAGTTATTTGGTGCCAACAGCTACTTTCCTCTTCCACCAAATAGCATCTTCTGGGGTGGGGTGGGGTGTTTGGAGCTTCATTAGATAGGGAGGAGCATCAAAATGGTCTTTTTAATGAGCTACTTAGGGTGCAATTCTATGCATATATAGACAGTGGAAAGACTGAACCTTTCCAGGAAGCCCTGTTAGGAACTATAGGAGTGTTTTTGTCTAAATAAACACAGGATTGTCCCTTTATTACATGTCTGTTTGACACCACATGAATTGATCTGGTGGTGTTTCTCCCCCTCTCCTTCCTCTCCAGCTCATCTGCTTGTTTACCCTTCTTGACTTTTGTTTCACTCACATAACAGTGTCCTGATGAAGTGTCACAAGCAAGCATTTACGCAGCTCTTTGTGAACCTCCAATTTCTCTTTCGCAGCTGATGTATTTTCAAAATGTTCCACCCCCGAGCTGCTTTCTCTCTCGATAATTTCTCCAAGGTTATTGGCCAATAAACTTAGTGCAATATGTTGGTGGTGCTCTGTTGGTTTTTAAAGGATTTTATTAAAATAATTCCTGGTGTACTGAGGCCTTTTAAAATCCCTGTACACATCCTCTAGCAATTTGTCTGGAGTACAGTAAAGCAGAAGCCAGACATATGCTGGTAAGGTAAGGCTGCCACATTGAGGATGGTGAAAAGGCTCTTGTCAGTGTATTGCTGGGATGGAAGCACTTGGTTGATCTTCCAAGAGGCCGAGGAGTTTCTCTGAACTGCTTTCCTGCACACTGCAGTAGTGGAGCCTGGGCTTACTGGACTGAAGCACCAGGACTTTTTGATTAGCAGGCACAATGGCATCATTTACCATCCAACCCTCAATTTTCCTATTCCTTTTGAGCTTAGCTGCAATCCTTACTAGTAGGTGGAAGAAAATGGACTTTCCAGCAACAGTACATAATTGTCAGTGATGCCTCTTGTGATGCAAAGTATTTGGAGTGCTTGCTGGTGCTGGGAACAGCTTTACAAACGATTTGTTCCTGGTGGAGAGGAGAACTGCTAGAACTCATTTGTCAACTTTGAGATAATCTTTTCCTCCCTGAAACCGCAAAGTGAAAGTCCCAGAAAATCAGGGGCTAGCAGAGCTATGTTTTTGACGCTCAGAGACATGTTGCGTCCCTCTCTTTCTCATGCAATCTTAGGCTTCTGCAGCCACACATTAACTGCAGCACTTGCCCTCTGCCAGCTCATAATTCCGTGTCAGCTGATTGTATTTATTAGACTTATCTCCCACTTTTTCTTACTCCAAACTCTAAGTGGCTTGCATCATTTTCCTCCCACTGCTCTCAATCTTATCCCCACAACAACCACCCTGTGAGGTAGGTTGGGCTGAGAGGCTGTGTCTGGCCCAAAGTCATCCAGCTGGCTCCATGCCCAAGTGGGGCCTAGAACCCAGGTCGCCTGAGCCCCAGTCCTGCACTCTTAACTGCTACACCACACTGGCTCTCACTTCAATTGGATCTTGCGCTATGTACTAGTGCCCCGTGGTGGGTTCAGCACACACACATGTGGGTCAAGGGGCTTGTCTGCCTCTCCGGACTGTCCTGGTGGACGTGGCTATGGAGACCGTTCCTGTGAGCACCCACCCACGCTTCCATGCTTACCTCCACATTACAGTTGATGCTCATGGCAGCTGACCTGGGATTGTGGTTAGAAGGCCTTGATTTCTCCACAGCGCCTCCGGACAATCTCACGCATGGCATGACAGGCCTTTTTCCATGAATGCTCCCTCTGAACCCTCCGATTCTCCTTGGACAACCCGTGTGTCTGCTGTCAGAAATTCCCCCAAAAGGCACAGTGGTCCCAATCGGAGCAGGAGTCTGATCAGGGCATGATCCTGCAGTAGCCAGGATGACTACAGGAGCCTGGGCTAGATAGATGCAGCGTGGCTCTTGTGTTTTCTAAGCTCACCCTTACAGTCCCAACGCCTCTTGAAGGATGCTATTGTTTCTGTATACGCAGGGCTGCACAGTTTGAACTGCCGGAGCAAGCTTCTTTTTCACATGAGATTACACCCATTATTATTTTTATTAATTACATTTCTATACTGCCCATAGCCGAAGCACTCTGGGCAGTTTACAAAAGGTACATTATTAAATTAAGGATAAATTACAAAATTATTCATTGGAGAGAATCGCCGATTTTCATTTGAATATTGCTGACTATATGCTATGGGCATTTTGTTTTCCCCTAGGATATATGAAGTTTTTTTATATAGACTAATTATAATGATTCTGTCCCACTGCATGGATTGCACTGAAATTAAAATGATACCTTTTCCTTGGAGGCTACCTTGAGCAGAACTCATTAATGAACTTTGTTATGAATTGTTACAAGTATGACTGCTTCCCCTTAACTACACCTTTGGCAAACCCTCAGTCTTCCCTTGAAGTTTCTAATACCTGTTCTTAGCCTTATTTGGATTTTTTGCCTTTTAATTTCTGCTTGAAGCTGTTAAGTACTTTGATATCCATGGCTCCATGTACTGCGTAAGAAGGAGAGAAATTTGCTGCCTGCCATGTTTGCTTTTAAAGAAGCAGCAGCAGCAGCAGAAGCAGAAGACTATGGAGAAGATTTAATTCCTTTGCTAAAGAGCAGGGACAGTGCAACCTTCCAAAGAAAAAAGGTTAAATAATAAAAACAAGCAAAGGGGGATTCACAAAGCAGCAAAATATTGATATGAAGAAGCGGGGGGAGCATTGCAATCTTCACAAGGGGGTGGATACTCCAGTGCTGGAAAGTGCCCTGGGAAACGCCTTGCAAGCATTTTATTAGGAATATTTTAAAGTCACCAAATGGTGCAGGAATGAGGGGCAGCAACTGTCGCTTGTTGTTAGTGGTTTGACAGGCAATCCGCTAAGAACTGTCCTTGGCATGCAGCCAGCTTTGACACACCGTTCAAATTGAAGAGGATGTTCTCATGAGAGAACAGACTGCATTTTGTGCTGAATTCAGTTTTCCTTTTGGGAAAAATCAGATTTTTACAGAAAGTATCTTGTTGAAATATGTTTGGTTCTCATGTGACATGTAACAACTGCACACATATTATGCAAAAAATTGATCTGGAAATGCCATTAGCTATATGAGCTGCCTTTCCTCTTTCTTGGCATGGGCTGGTTACTCTATAGGTTCAGCACTCTCATGGTAAGATAATGCCCAAGCTTGGTCCTGCAGAGAAAGTGGCAGCCTCTTGGTTTGTGGATCGCCTTGTTTAATTGTCCCATCCTATTGTTGGCGTGGCGATCTTAGCATTTCATGCATAATTTCCAGGCGATGCCAAAGCAGTTTAAGCACATTGAGGCTGGGTTTGCACAACATATTAAATCATTTGGGAATTAACCATGCATTTTGGTTAAAATTCTTCTGTGTCTGACAGGCAGTCTGGCACAGCTGGGGTTGCGTGCCTTCTCCTTTCCTGCTCAATCCTCCAGGGGTCGCCCCTCCAATCCTCCCCCTGGTGGATTCCACTGCAAAGGGTATTTCCACTCCCCCACGTTTAAGAAGAATGGCAACATCCACATGGCATTTTGCAGTTTGGTGGCCCACTGCTCATTGTGTAACTCATGTGGCCCTGAGTCCCTGGGTGGATAAGCCCTCCCCCCCACCTCCATCTCCACAGAACATGTAAAAAAGAGTGATCTGGGGACACCACAGGCAGCATCCCTGGGGTTCTTCAGGGGTGCTAGAAAGCCCAAACTGTCCCCTCAGTCTTTTCCTAAGTGGATATCAGCCCAGAAAGTGGCAAAACCTGGGAAAACTCCAGTGTGTTGGGTGAAGCTTGTGATTTAAAGGGACAACTCTGTTGGCTCCCCCCACCCCCAGGACTTTCTCTGAGCTTTGAAAGCCCTTCCCACTTCTAGCAGGGAAGGGGGAGGCTTTTGCAGTTGTCTCTGAGCACTGCTTGGCACTTTGGGGTACCCAGGAAAGGCAATTTCCCAATATTCCCTTGGCTAGAGGAGCAAGCCTTCCTGCTGTTCTAGCCAAGGGGCTCTCTGGGTTTTTCACCTCACCATGACTTATCTTGTTGTCTGGAGTTTGACAACCTAATAAGCCACAGTGGGTTTATTAAACCCTGCGGCAAGCATGGGCTAGTTGCAGAAGTGTAAGTTACTTAGCTCATAAACCACTCTGTGGAAAGCCTGCTGGGTTCAGACAATATGCTAAACCACCATGGTTTATAATCCACCATGGTTTAACTTCTTGTGTGGACCAACCACATGTCCTTCTCCATCCATCTGGCTGCTTCCATCAGTGATGACTATTGCCAGGTCAAAAAGGTGACCAGAGCATCTCTCCGCATTCTTCACTTTCAGTTTGCATTGTGCTTGAACTCACAGGGAGCTAACTGCTGTTCACACACAGAGGCTAGCCTTGCTGCACTTTCCCAGCCTGAGCTGTGTAGTCTGATAATGGTCTGGAAGGACCACAGGGCTGAACCAGTCTGGTAATGGCTTTGGTCCTGATTTTTTTGTAATTTACTCTGTTACCGGCTGCACCAACACATGAAGTCACTGCATCCAAGATAATTTAGCTAATGGGTGAAGACATCCTTATGGGTAGTTTTGTGTTTCATTTGCATGTTAAGCTACTAGGAGAGAAAGCTGAGAGTGGGGATTAGATGCCTCAGCTTGAGTGGGCTGGATTTTATGGTTAGTGCTGTGTTTAAGCATCAGGTTGCAGCAGCATGGTGCTAAACCAGGTTCCTTTAACTGGGGAAAAGGAATGCATGCATAGGTTTCATGCACACAATTGATTTCATCGCATGGGCATGGCTTGCCTGACAGTCCCTTAAGGACCATTATTCTTTCATTCTTCTGTGAGATGGGTGTGTTCCCTCTATGGCTCTGAAAGGCATTCTAGTAAAAAGATAAATTTCCTCCTTGCGATCCTTGGGCTTTGGGTGTTCCTTATTCTGGGAAGGGATTTAAAGCTGTCTGCCAGACCCGTGGGCTGTTACAACAAGACAGTGCCACAATGCTGAGCTCAGGCCTGCGAATTCCCCTCCTCCCCCTTCTTCTCCTGTTGCTCACACTGATGAAGCTGAGCTGGTCCCTTACAGATGAGGACAAGAAGCTGATCGTGGACCTGCACAATCACTACCGTTCTAAGGTCATTCCTCCAGCTGCAAACATGCTGAAACTGGTAAGTGAACTGCAAGCAGCTTTTTAAACTTTTAAAAGTTTATTTTTCTTTGGAGCATCTGACTGGTGGAAGAAAGAAATGTGAAGCTGTTGAGATGAAGCTGAATTCAGCAGTCAGATGGATGATCTTTGTAGATGTCTCTGGGGCTTCCTGCTGCTAGTCAAATGGATGCTTATCATAACCAATATAGTATATTTATGTGCAAGGTATACCCTATTACTGAAAACTACAGATATCCATTTCTTTAACTAGTTTGTACATGAACTGTAAATGTCTTAGAACTAAGCATCTTACTGGTACCTTTAAATGGAAGGAGTATGGACAAAATCTTGTCCATGTGCTGATATGAATTACTCCATGCCAATGAAGGCTCAGCCAAAGAATTTCTGTGCCTCATTGTGATGCTCAGCTGTTCCATAAACCTGAACAAATCCCCTTTCTCTGTTCCCTCCTACCCTGATCTCTATATGAAAAGCACATAGTACTGTGGATTCCCAGTTCTAACCAGAGCATCATTTGAGCTTTTAAAGGTGGTGCTCTTTGTTTTTGTTTTTTTAAACCCTGGCTGAACATGTGCAACTCATTAGTTGTAGGGGATACAAAGCAGACCTTTTACTTCTGGGTTGCACGGCTGTTTCAGCACTTAAACAGCAGTTATCCATTGCTGATTCAGTAATGACTCTTCTCCTCCACTCCTCCCATCCCACAGCAAGTAGCAGTACCATAACTACCAAGAGGATGTTGCTTGGTTATGCTGCTTTTACAGGCATCTATTGGATAGTGCCTGTGACATCACAGCCAAGAACATAAACCATTCATTAGCTCTGTGCTCATGAATGGGATATAAACACCCAAACAAAATAAATAATAACCCACCTGCTTGCTCACAATGATTGCACAAATGTTAGTTTTTTAAAAGGTTTATCTTGTTTGGGTGTTTTCTCCCCTACCCTCTTGGGCATTTATCCCCCTCTTTTGCTCTTGTGATGATCCTTTAAAGTTGTTTAGATCAAGGAGCATAAAAATAATTCTCTGTCTGCTTTCCCCTTTGATGGAAGGCTGAGCACGTTGCTGGCATTTGCACAGGCTTTCAAAGGACAATACTAGAGGGGTTTGTGCAGTGGGAGCAGGCTGCTCTGGCTGGGACAGCACGGAGCTGCTAACTGGATGGTAGTTTCCCCTTTTAAATCTCAGTCCCACCTCTTTAAGCCAGAGGTGATGGAATAGAGAATCTGACTGCACTGATGGGGCCATAAGTGTGGTGAGAGAAAAATGGTCTGTCTGTTTGTCCATCCAGCCTTCTGCCCTTTCATCCTTCCTCTATAGGGACCAGTAGAGGAACTAGTTGTCTGGGGTCAATCAACTGAAGTAGAATAGGTTTTGGTGGGATCTGAATGGGAAATTGATCTGGGAGAAATTGAATGCAATTTAAAAACATGTTTGAAGCTCAGTTCTCTGCCTGATACTTTCCACGGTCTTCAAATGGGCACTCATGTTGATCATGCCCAGTGCTCTGTGGCTAAAAGACAAAGAATATGTGGAAGTTCTAGTGACAGATCCCCCTGTTGCTGTTTATTGTTTCTTTAACCTAAAAGAGAGAGCGCCAGGATGGTGTAGTGGTGAAGAGATGGGACTGGGACTCAGGAGATCTGGGTTCTAGTCCCCGCTCAGCCATGGAGCCAACTGGGTGACTTTGGGCCAGTCTCAGACTCTCAGCCCAACCTACCTCACAGGGTTGTTGTTGTGGGGATAAGATGGAGGAGGAGATGTAAGCTGCCTTGAGCCCTTTGTAGGAAAAAGGCAGGATATAAATTGAAAAAATAACAAATAAATAAATAAATAAATAAATGCAGATGGGCAGAGGGGATGGATCAGGGCTGCAGCACTTGGATCACTTGCCAGTACCAGATAGAAATTCTCCCCACCCTACGCCCCCGCCACACACAATTGGTACTAACCTCATAGGGAGAAAAAGGCAGGGGTGACCCTTGCCTCTTCCTGGCACCTACCATTAAGTATTAATTCAATGGGATCTCCCCCACAGCCTCTAGGGCAGCCTTAGCAGTGGCCAGTCAAATGCTTCGATAAAGCTTTCCATCAGATGTGGAGGCATGTGAACGCAGCAGCTGTCCGTGCTGAATTAGAGATGGTTCCCTCCAGCCCAGAATTGTTGGCAGCGACTCTCTAGGGTGTCAGACATGATTCCGGGCATATCATGAGAAGGCAAGCTCACTGGAGAAGACAACCATGCCAAAATCGAAGGCAGACCAGGTAGGAGAAGGACTGACTCCATAAAGGAAGCCACAGCCTTGAATTTACAAAGGCCAAGCAGGGCTGAGAAGGACAGGACATTTTGGAGGACTTTCATCCATAGGGCCACCTTAAGTGTGAGCCAACAGAGCAACAAAAAGCTGGAGATATCAGGGATTAAACGTGGGATCTCTTGCATGACCTGCTCCAAGCTGTGGTCCTTTCCCAACAGCACTCAACTTGTTTTTCCAAAAAGCACATGGCATTAGAAGGCTACTCCATGCAGTCCAATAGCTGACAGGTAATATCACTAAAGGATGCAGACAGGTGGTGCTTCCATGGTTGGAGTAGGTAGAAGGAGTTTTGAGTAGGTGGAGTCAAGGTGATAGGAAAAACTGGGTGGGACCTTTAGTTGTCCCATTTCTCGGAAGCATGGGCAGCCCTCCTTACGATGCACTTTTGAATACAAATTGCTTTCAAACTGGTTGATTTATTAAAAACAAAAAACAAAGGATGAGACACTTTCTATGTTAGTAATTATAATCGGAGCGATGTCCATCCCCAGTCAGGTTTCTTACTTCTCAGCATCTCAGTTCTAGGAGGGAATGATGCATAACGATTGATCATATGAAAGGTAACTCACAATAGCCGTTTCAAGTTACATTCATATTACTAAGTGAACACTTAGTTCTTGCTTTGCTAATTGAACATATTAGCTTGAGGTAGATTGACATGTGTGTAAATTTACTCCATATTGAGTTACTCAGGCTATCCTATACTTATTTGAGAGTAAGGCCTATTTAACTCTGTAGGACTTATTGCTGAGTAACTATGTATAAAGATATAGATGATACCACTAGTGACTCTTAGCAGAATATAGAACTCCCCCCACAAAAAAAAAAAAACAACAAAAACCAGATTGTTCTTGTGATAATGGCAGTCCTTACTCAATGCTGCAGTCACTGAGCAAAAAAGATGCATCCATGAACTCCCTGTCTAAGCATGAGATGTCAGGCGACAGCCAGTGTGATGCAGCGATGAAGGAGTTGGACAAGGAAGGGAGAGACACAGGATCAAGTCCACACTTAGTCATGAAGCTCATTGGGTGATTTGGGGTCAGTCACCACCTCGTAACCCACTTGCCTTGTAGAGCTGTGAAATAAAATGGGAGAGGAGACCCATATAGACCATCTTCAGTTGTTTGGAGGAAAAGTGGCATACAAATGTAATAAATAAAGAGTTACAATATGAGCAAGCATTTCAAGATCAAGTAGTGTTTGGGAAAATGCAGTTTACATAGATGCAATTGTATGGATAGCTGCATTTATTTATTTATTATTATTTAATTGTATAAACTGGCTTTCACCTGCCGGTGATCCCATAGGTCATGTGTTCTAAAAAGAGATATCACACAATACTAGCATGTTTTACGTGATTCCACACAAATTAGGTTTTGTTTTATGTGATTCCATGTAAAAGCCTTCATAAAAACACATTGGATGTGCAGTCTAAGCCTTGCCTTTTCTAGGCTGGTGCTGTTAGGGCGCAATTCTAGGAAAGTTTGGGCAGGAAAAAGGCCTGTGACACCCAGCTTGCCCCAGCCAGCTACCCTGTCTAAACTTGCACAGGACTGAGTCTTTACAATATTTAAGTTTTATTCATTTCTATCCCTTACTCTCCCAGTATGAATCTTTGTGTAGCTCTCATGCATTCTGCAAGGTTTCAATCATTTTCTTGATCGATTCTCAATGTCCTTAATCACACATCTGACAGTGACAAGACTTGAGGATGCTGATCTAGTCAGGTTCAGCTTTTGTAAGAGGAAGTTAGCCACTGACATCAATTGGCATCCATGGTGAATGGCTCTATAACTGCAATATCAACAGAAAAGGAAGAGAAGCCCTGATAACAAGGGAGGAGAAGCAGGGCACTCAGCAGTAGGAATGGTATGAACTGGATTTCTGGGGAGAGCTGTTGTACAAAGGTTTGCTCTCCCTGAAAACAAGGAATGTGCCTCTCCATGAAAAGAAAAGGAAGTGGAGCACAAATCATGATGCAAGTCCGCCATGCCTGACAGTGATTTTCTGTAGCAGTTAGAGGAAGGAAGGAAGGAAGGAAGGAAGGGCTCACAAGTTTAGAGCAGCTAACAGCAAGACATTTTAAATGAGTGGCTATCAATAATAAGCACACAGTTTAATACGCAGAAAGACCATTGTCACTATGCATAATCAAAATGCTCCTGAAAGTGCCACCTCTAACCGGACAGTGGAATGACTGGGCTAGTGATAAAGACATTTCCAAGCACAACTGTAAAGACCTGCTTCTTGTCTCTACTCACTACCCCTCAGTTCCTAGAGGAATGGGACAGAGCACCAAGACAGTGCATAGGAGCAAATGTATGAGAGAAGACAGTTCTTACCTTATGAAGGCTACAAGCCATTTAGAGCAGGGCCTCCTTGTGGCTGTCCGGATGTTTTGTCTTGGCCATCCCCATCAGGATGGTCCATGGTGAGGGACGATGGGAGTTGTAGATCGACAAATTTGGAAGGCCCCACATTGCTCTTCCTTGGTGTAGCACTTAAAGCTAAGAGCCAGTACCTCCAATTTATCCAGAACACGAATAGGTTGCCACACAGACCCAACAGCACTAGCATGAAAGGTTTCATCTTGCAAGCCAGAGGTCACAATCCAGCAGCAGCATTTGGGGAAACGGTGAAAAGGGCAAGTCTAGATGAATCCTAGATGAAGGG